TAACAGGGATCTCTCAAGAAAGTGGCTTTGCTTTGGCAGAAGGCTAAGTGTTAGAACCAAGGATGATGCAAGAACAGCAGCTCGAGCCGCCTAATCCTAACTCGATCGAGTTCAACACTTAGAGCTTTTTAGAACAAAATCCTAACTACCCTTTTTGGCATTTCGCCTTTGAAACTGAGGAGCTTTGCTCACTTTTCTTTTAAGAACTTCCTAGGGAGAGGCTTCTTGAGGTAACATCTAGCGGTTTGGGATTTTCTAAACACTTAGGGAACTTTTCTTTCCTTTTTGACACTTGAGGCTTTGCCTTCTTTTCATTCTACTTAGAACCCTTTTTACTTTCCTTTTTTAACTTCCCAAACCTTTACTAGACCCTTTTAAACACTGCCAACTCCCTGGACTTAACCAAACTCTTTTTCCTTTGGGTTTTTCCCAATTTTTACCACTTTTCTGGTTTTTACACCCAACTCGATCGAGCTCGAGTTGGCACCCCCAAACTTAGCCTGAAAACAATCCCAAGAGAACTAGACAACTAGAACTACTGCCCCTGCCGGTTTAAACACAACACCTTATGCTAAGCAAAGCCAAGAAAGGTTCTCACATTCGCACAAGAGATAAAATGGGGTTTGAAATGAAAAAGGCTTAGGTTTAAGGTGTGGTAACTGTCTCAAAGATAGAGATCAGCTATCTGGACAAGCAAAAGGGATATGAAAATGGTAAAGAATGTCCAGATATGTATGTGGTAGCCATGAGTTGAAATCAAATGCAAGCATTGGTAATTAAAGATCAAGTTATGGTTCAAATAGATAGGGAAATGCATCAAATCACAGCAATGGTTGAATGAGATGTGCATGCAGCGATATGATCAAGATAAACATGGTTCTTGCTGCTCAATCAATCTCACCCTAATGCACAAAAGAATCTAAAAACAGGGCACTCAAGAAATCGCAAAAGATGGACAAGTTTTCAAAGTCAAATCAACAATGCAAGTGAAAAATGCAATCCTAAACAAGTCTAACAAATATGAATGCAAAAAGATGAAAATATTTTTGGATTTTTTGAAAATTTTATGATTTTTTTGGTTTTTCTATGCAAAAGATAAATGAAAAACTAAGAACAAAGAAAACAAGGTTAAATCATCTCTTGAACCCTCCCCCAAACTTAAATCACACAGTCCCTTGTGTGAGAAAAATTCAGTGAAAGATTCAAGAGGGCAAAACCAAGAAAAAACAAGAACAAAACAAGAAAATATGAAATGGTATATACAAGGGTTGGTGTTTGGATACCTCAGTGTCCCCCAAAGAACTGGGAGACTAGGTCGTGGTCTGGAGATGGGAGACGGCCATCAGGAGCACTCCACTCAACTGGGTTCGGCTCACTCGATCGAGCTTGTGGCTCCTCTTCCTCCTCTTCTTCATCTTCAAAGTGTGTGTGGCTTCCTTGGCCTTGGTGGAGCATGGTGCTCGTACTGTCCATAGGGGTCCATCTACTGGAGAAGTCCTGGTAGGCTGGGATCGTACTCAAATCCCGGATTCTCAAACTGGGGCTCCTCCAGGTCAACTCGACCGTCAGCTCGATCGAGTTGAGTTTCCTCTGTTTGGACTCGATCGAGTCCGGTGGTCGAGCTGGAGCGTCTGGCCTTGGAACTCTTCCTCCTTCTCTGCGTGTTGTCTTCTCCTTCCCTTGGCTCGAAAGAAGAGGCTCTGTGAGGCTCTTGGGCAGGGAGCCTCCTTGGAGTGGTGAGGAGTGATCTACTCCTAGGGAATGTGGGGGCCTTGGACTTCTTCTTCTTGCTTGAAGAACCAGAAACCTTCTTCTCCAAACTTTTGATCTTGCTCACCATCTTGTCCATGGACTTTTGCATCTTCTCAATGGCTTTCCCTTGCCATTTGTTGAACTTTTGGAGAAGTCCAATCCTCTTGTGGCAGCCACAACAGAGGGGTTCATCCTTGGAGCCTCATACTCCTCAAAGTAATAGCACTCAGGCTCACCCAAATCCGCACTCTCCTGGCTGATCCTCAGCTCGATCCTCAGCTCGACTCAGCTCGATCGAGCTCAGGCTCCTCTTCTCGCAAATCATCCTCATGCCCAACTAATGTGTACACAGGGGGTCTGAAGTCAATGTTCTCACCCCTTACTACTGTGGTGAGCTCTGGGTTAGGCAGGAGAACTTGGAGGGTCCAACCAATGGATGTGTGAACTTGAATTGGAACTCCCATCCAACTCCTTGTGCTCAATGAGGAGGTTGGTCTTGCAAAACTTGATGTCCATCCAACCTGGTTCAGTAGCTCTCTATCAGTTGGGTTCACTCCAGCAGCACACAAGATAGGTGTGATGAGCCCTCCAACACTTAGCCTCCCTCGTTGATGCCTAGTGTTGTAAGCTGTGATCTTGTAGGTAGGAGATGGTCAAGGAAAGGCATCAAGTTCCCTGTGTCAGATCTATCTCCCCTGATCCTCTTGCCATCGCTTGTGCGTGAGAGAATGGGCTTGATTCCCATGTCAAGAAACTTGAGTTCCCCCTCGTTGATTGTCCCGGTCGCCTTCCTTGCAAAGAAGGTGTTGGCAAGTGCCTTGTGCACATATCTCAAGACTGGGCTCCTGATCTGAGCTGCCTTGGACCTTGAGGAAGAGTACACTCCATCAGCGATTGTAGCCCAAACCCTTTGGAGTTCCTTTTCCTTGAAGTTCCACTTGGTCCCTCTCCATAGTTGAACCCAAACAAGATTCCAGCTGCCTAAAGGTCACCATTCTCTTCTCTCCCTTAGCCAAGAACGTGATCCATCCCAATCCTTGGTCCAAATCAGCTCTATCTTCCTCTCATACATGTGGTACCTCATTGAAGCTAAGAACTCGCAAGTGAGCTCCTTGTAGGATTCCATGTGTAAGAGAAGAAGCTTGGCCAAGTGCATGTTCTTGAGACCAACTCCACATCTTCAAAGATTCCAAGGGCCTTCATTGTGTCAACATGTGGGTACTTGGTGTCCATGAAGTCCATGGAGAAGAGAGCATCATAGTGCTCTTGGTACATGGGGAGCTCATCCTCTTCTTCCTCTGACTCCTCTCTTCCATGGGCACATTCTCATTGCTCCTCATGCTCACTCTCCTCAATCTCTTGATTGACCTCTTCCCCTCTTCTTCACTTGGGACTCATCATTCTCCTCATGTGGGATGTTCACTCCAATTTCAAACTCTCCTGCTTCGCTCTCACTGCTGATAGGATCATTCCTTCTTCTTGGTTCTCCTCTCTTCCCTCAATTCTCCTCTCAGACCTCCTCAGAGACATCCTCTCATCTGCTGGTTCTCTCTTCCTTGATCTCCTATCCTCATCTTGCTCCTTTCTTCATTCTTCTTGCTTCCTCCCTTCTTGAAGCTGCTTGCTTCCTTCACCTCTCAACATCTTACTTGTTTCTTGATTGGGTCCTGAAATGCATCAAAAACTCAAAGAATTAGAGTTGTAATGATCGGTTTGGTCAACTCGACACTCAGCTCGATCGAGTCAAAAAACTCGAGTGACAAACTCGATCGAGTTGGGTGAAAACAGAGTATAACCGAACCTAATTCAAGTATTAAGAGCTGGAAAGGATGCTAATCAATCAAATTGAACCAAGAACAACTAGTAAATGGAACAATGAGCAATTCTAGTGAACTAGCATTAACCAATACCAAACTCAAATTCAATTTTCAAGCACATGCAACAAGTTTAATGGCAAAAACAGAGGTGAGGTGAAGCAAATTCACAAGATTATGCAAATATGAAGCAATTACTCAAGCAAGTCCACAAGGGACACATGCAATCAAAAATCAAAGGAAACAAGCAATAGGAAATCGAGATGAAGATCAAGGGTTTAGGGTTCATACCTTGCTTGAATGATGGAAGAAGACAGTAAACAAGAACTAAACAAGAGAACAAAAGCAAAGAGAAATCGCAAAAACTTAGAGAGAAAGGAGAAATCGATTTTTCTTGTGGTGAAGAGAGAGAGAGATGATTTCAGAAATTTTAAGATTGTGGGAGAGAGAGAGGTGGATTCGATCGAGTTATGGGGAAGAGGGAGTGTTTGAGATGTGTGGTTGAGATTAAAAGTGAAATAAAGAGGGAACAAGAAGCTAGGGATTTCTGATCAAATTAGGGTAGTGGGGGACCAAAATCAGCTTGTGGGACCCACTCCCTTGACCAAGAAAACGGTTATGAATTTGAAATTCAAAAACTTACCTCGGTCGAGTTGTGGAACTCGATCGAGTTGCCCTGGTTTCTAGCTCGATCGAGCTGTCGGTCGAGCTGGCTCCTTGACACCTAAACTTAACTTATTGAAAGGTTAAAACACATAAATAGATAGAAATTGCATAAATAGAATATGTACAAGGATAAACATGGGACTTCCTCCCAAGTGAGCTTGTTTAAGGTCCCATAGCTTGACCTTTACCTTCTTAGGCATTGGTTGAGCTAGTCCCACCATCAAGGGTGATAGTGAGGACTTGAGACAGAAGCTCCTTTAGCTTGGTTGGGTCCCTGGACTGTTCTGAAGTCACCAAGGCCTTGGCTCTAGAGAATGGCCTTGATCTCCCCTTGTACCTTATCTTGTACTCAATCTTCCCATTTTCAAACTTGGTGGGGAACAAAGTCATTGTGAGCTGAGATGGCTTGACTGAAGGGGCCTGAGCTGGTGGATCCTTTCTTTTATCTCCTGGTCTTGCCTTAGAGGCTGCATCCTCCCCTTCTTTAGAGCCCTTCCTAGTGGCTCATCAAACAAAGCTTGAAGGCTCTCTTCATCAAGCACACAAGGGGCTTGAACAAGTCTCAGCTCTTGGCCTATCAGATCGTGGTTTCTCAACTCTAGCCCTCTCAAGACGTGGCTTCTCAATCCTTGGTCCTCTCTCATCCTTATCCTTCCCAACTCTTGGTTCCTTGTCAACCCTTTCCTTCACAACCTTTGTAGCTCCATGACTCTTAGAACTGAGATTGGTACTGTCAATTGTGGCACAAAAGTCTGAACCTCTAGGCTGCAAGCGATATGACACCAAACTATTCACCTTGTGAAGGATCACTTCTTGCTTGTGAAAGTCTATTGAAGCGCCAACTGTACTAAGGAAAGGGGTTCCCAATAACAAAGGCAAATCCTTCTCTTCTTCCATTTCCATCACAGTGAGATCAGTTTGGATGATGCATTCTCCAATTTTCAAGTGATAGTTCTTGAACACTCCAAGAGGAGACTTAGAAGTTGCATCTCCAAACATGATTGAAGTAGTAGGGCGCTGCAAGGCTCCAGCAATGCCTAGCTTCTCTGCCATGGAGAGAGAGATCAGATTGATGCTTGCTCCAGAATCCACTAAGGCATTGTCAATCTCAAGATGCCCAAGTGTGCAAGGGAGAGTGAATTTCCCTTGATCCTTGACCTTTGGTAGGAAGGTGGGTGAAGTAAGCAGGTTGAACTGATGAGTAGACTCTTGTAGGACCTCTGAAACTTTATCACTGTTGGCTAGAACATCCTTGACCATTTGCATTTGATCAAATGCCTCACTCATGCTATCCATAGGAGGCAACTCAATTCCAATCCCACTGAGATCTCTTCTGAACTTGTGAATCACTTCCTTGTGACCTTGACTAAGTAGGCGAGACGAGGAAGCGGCAACCGGTTGATAAGGATCAAGCAAAACAGGCTGTCGGACAGAAGAGGTCGGACTCGATCGAGCTAGAGTTGGACTCGATCGAGCTGCCGATCGAGCTTGTCGTGCGAGCTCAACTGGTGAAGTGTGAATGGCCACAGTAGGTGCATGCACTTCTGGTTGATCAATCTGGACTCCAGGAGCCTCAGCAGCAACAATCTCTTCATCATTCAGCAGTAAACAAAAATCTTCAATGACCCTTTCTTGATCCTCTTCTTCAACAAGTCCTTCTTGAGTGAAGATGACCTTGCACTGTTCCTTGGGGTTCTGAATAGCTTTACCAGGTAGTTGTCCTTGCTTTGTAGCAGCAGCAACAGAAGAAGCATGATTCTCCAGAGAGTAAACCCTTGTGTTGAGGTTCTCGATCTTAGAGTTTATTTCAGCTAGCTTCTTGCTTGTGTCCACTACCCCATCAGCTTGCCCTTGAAGTAGTTGCTTTAGCATTGCTTTGAGCTCATTCTCTTGTGAAGGTGCAGGCTGGGGCGGTTGGTGGGGGAAGCCTGGTGGGATATTCATTTGTTGTCCAGGGAAAGTGCCTTGTGGTCCTTGGTAATTGTTCTTTTGACCATACCCATGTTGTGGCACCTGACTCGATCGAGCTGCTTGTTGTTGAGGATATACTTGGTCCTGAGGGTTAGCAACATCAGTGTTGCGGTATGACATGGCAGGGTTGGACTTGTAATTATAGTATCCTTTGTTGTAACCTCCTTGCCCATTGCTCATGTAGCACACCTCAGCAAATTGTGTATCCTCCCCTTCTTGGACTGGTTCCATCTCCTCAGCAGACACAAAGTTGACTTTCTTCATTGTGGACTGAGCTAGGATCAGCTTATCCAACTTCTCATTCAATGCCTTAACATCTTTTCTCAACTTTTCGTCTGACTCGATCGAGTGGTGGGTCGAGCTCCGGTTGGTGCGATCATACTCTTCTCCATAGCTTCCATTTGAGTTAGCTATGTTCTCCACAAGTTGCCAGCCATCATCTACATCCTGGTTGAGGAAGTTCCCATTGCTAGCTGTGTCTAGCATCTCCCTATACCTAGGCAAGCATCCTCTATAAAGAGTGGAGAGTAGTGATTCATTGTTGAATCCATGGTGTGGGCACTGACTTGTGTAGCCTTTGAACCTCTCCCAAGCCTCTGCGAATGTCTCATTGTTTCGCTGGATGAAGCTGGATATCTCTCCTCTAAGCTTGGCTGTGCGACCGGTGGAGAAAAACTTAGCAAGAAAGGCCTTCTTGCATTCATCCCAAGTGGTGATTGTGCCATGGGGCAAGCTCTTCTCCCATTGGTGAGCTTTGTCAGCTAGAGACATAGGAAAGAGTCTCAGCTTGATGGCATCTTCAGAGACACCATTGATCTTTGTCAAATCACAAAGCCTATCAAACTCATCAAGGTGGTCAATGGGGTCTTCACTTGGCAATCCATGGAACATCTTGTTCTGGACAAGGTTGATCATTCCCAGCTTGATCTCAAAGTTGTGGTTCTGCACTGGTGGTGGAACAATCCCTTGTCTCTGTTGGTGGCGGTTTGGAGCATCTCCTTGACCAATCGGTCGAGTTTGCCTAGCTCGACCGAGTCCATTCCCAAAGGGTTTCCATTCCCCTCTGGTACATCCATTGTATCAGCAACAAGCACCTCAGGTTCCTCTTGTACCCTCTGTGACCTCTGAACCCTCTTTCTACCCGTTGTAATGTCTAGCTCGACCAAGTCCTCAGTAGACCGACTCGATCGAGTTCGCATACACCTGCAAAAAGAGACAAAAACCCAGCAGTACAATAGAACAGGGGTGGTATAGCTTGATCGTCCAAGTGTGTTTGAAACTCAAATGCAACAAAAATATTCCCAAATCGGCAACGGCGCCAAATTGATGATAGGATTTGTGTGTGGATGTGAAAAGATATGAAATGAGATGAGTGGAATGCAACAGTGGTATATGATGAGGTGGTAAGATGCAAACACAAACACAGTCAACAATTCCCTTTAACCATCATAGTCATGTAGTACAAAGGGTTATCAATCCAAAATGGGAAACTTGTCACTCTTTGAGAATATGAAACAACCAGAAAGTCAAGCAAGCAGTTATAGATTTGAAGTAACACTAACAACCTAAATAAAATGAAATGCAGTGCAATAAAAGTAAACAAAGCAGTGAAGTAGCAGCTCGACCAAGAGCTCGAGTCGAGTCAACAAAGTACCAGCTCGATCGAGTTTAGGGACGAGTTGAGACAAACAAAGCTAAAGGTGACGACTTTAACAAGATAAGAGAGAATTAGGGTTCAAGACAGGGTTTTGCAATCAAAGGAATCTACACTTAATCAATCTAGCTCTTAAAACTCCTTGTATCAAGGCTTCTCTTGATATTGGGCTTCTCAATGCCTAGCCAACCCTTTCCCAAGGTGGAGGCTATCAACCAAGGAATGATCTCAGAAACAGGGGGTTAGCCAGTGAGAATCAAACCTTGGAGGCTATAGGATCATTGCCCAAACTAATCCATCCAACCCCTTAGACCTCTATTGTCTAGAGCAAGAGATATTGGAGCTCTTAGTGGATCTTTTCCAGCGAATGCCATCACTTTCGTGTGGGGAGTCGCCTAAGGACTTACAAGCCAGGGGTAGTGGTCATGTAGCCTTAAGATCTATCCAAAAGAGAGAGAATCTAGATTAAGACCATAAGCTAGAAGGATTAAGCATATGAAACCTCTAATCTATCCCATCTCAAACCCCAATGGGTAACTACTCACTACACATGAATGTAAACACAAGCAAATGCAATAAAAGAGACATCATAAGAAAGAGGAGATGAAATTAAACAACTTTTATTGAAATAAGCAAGTGCAAATACAAAGAGAGATTATCCAGGATCTAGGATTCAAGAAGCAAGAGCTTCAAGAACACAAAGATGGGATTAGATCTCTAAAAAGTAAAAGACAATAAATTAAAAGAAACTAAAACAAAATAATCTAAAGCTTGGTGGTTTTTTCGTGGCTTAGAGCCTTTAAATACAAGAGGATTAGGTTTAGGGTCAAAGGAAAGTCAAGGGGGAAGCAACATTTTTCGGGTTTGACTGTTGACTTCTCAGCTCGATCGAGTTGAAGCTTGGCCGGTCGAGTTGAGGAACTCGACCGGTTGGTCGAGTAGACGGTCGAGCTGGTCTTCAAGATGGCTTCTCCCTTCTTCCTTTGCGTATCCAGTTGAGCTGCTTCCATGTGCCAAGTCCCTCCATGCTCCTCATGTCCCATATGCTCCAGAATGCTCCAAAAGACCTATTTCAAAGGACCAAACATGCATATGTATGCAAATGCAACCTAAAACTAACATGAATGCATAAGAAGAGAAAAGGAACAAGATATGATGCAAATGGAAGCTAAAACTATGCAAAAGATGCATAAAAGATGTGCTAAAACTATGTAAAATGCAAGTACATCAAGCCCCTATGACCTAGCACTTTCCCTTTATTGCTTACAACCTCGTTATACTTGCTAGTTCGGTTCACCATTACAACCTCAAACCAATACTTTTGGTTTAGCTTGATCCAAAATCCATAGTTACAAAGTGTACTCAATAGCCAGTCCTTGTGTTCGATACTCATACTTCCACGATCTGTGCACTTGCAGAGGTCTAGGAGTTTGGTAAAACCTGACTCCGCATCAGTATGCAAATGCAACCTAAAACTACTATGAATGCATAAGAAGAGAAAAGGAACAAGATATGATGCTAATGGATGCTAAAACTATGCAAAAGATGCATACAAGATGTACTAAAACTATGAAAAATGCAAGTACATCAAAGGGTCAAAAAGAAAAGAAAAGTTCCCTAAGTGTTTAGAAAATCCCAAACCGCTAGATGTTACCTCAAGAAGCCTCTCCCTAGGAAGTTCTTAAAAGAAAAGTGAGCAAAGCTCCTCAGTTTCAAAGGCGAAATGCCAAAAAGGGTAGTTAGGATTTTGTTCTAAAAAGCTCTAAGTGTTGAACTCGATCGAGTTAGGATTAGACGGCTCGAGCTGCTGTTCTTGCATCATCTTTGGTTCTAACACTTAGCCTTCTGCCAAAGCAAAGCCACTTTCTTGAGAGATCCCTGTTACTAAACCACCATACAAAAGAGACCCTCTTTGTCTCTTAACCCATAAACCCTTGAAACCAAATGAGTTGATTGATCTTGCATGTTTTTGGTTCACTGTTTTTGCTTAATGAATGTTAAAGGGATTTGCTGATTTGAATGCATTGTTTGAGTGACTGTGAAGTGGGATTGATGTTGATAAGCATGGTTAAATCTTAATGAATATCTCTCACCTTGTTGCATTCTAGAATCTCTAAGTTGGACATTTAGCAAATCGCTTTTGAGGACATGTTTTTAAGTGTTGAATCAACTTGTTTTCAAACCTCATCTCTTTCTTGTTCTATTTGTTTGCTTGAGGGCAAGCAAAGTCAAGTTTGGGGGTGTTGATGTACTTGCATTTTGCATAGTTTTAGTACATCTTTTATGCATCTTTTGCATAGTTTTAGCATCCATTAGCATCATATCTTGTTCCTTTTCTCTTCTTATGCATTCATAGTAGTTTTAGGTTGCATTTGCATACATATGCATGTTTGGTCCTTTGAAATAGGTCTTTTGGAGCATTCTGGAGCATATGGGACGTGAGGAGCATGGAAGGACTTGGTGCATGGACGCAGCTCAACTGGATACGCAAAGGAAGAAGGAGGAAGCCATCTTGAAGACCAGCTCGACCATCTACTCGACCAACCGGTCGAGTTCCCAATCGACCGGCCAAGCTTCAACTCGATCGAGCTGGGAAGTCAAAGTCAAACCCGAAAAATGTTGCTTCCCCCTTGACTTCCCTTTGACCCTAAACCTAATCCTCTTTGTATACCTGAGGCCCTCAGGCAAAGGTTTGAGGTCGACTTTAGGCGCCTTGAGCTCAGACCAATCTCCTTGAGCTTGCTCCTTGCATTCAGTCCCCAGCTCGATCCAGTTTGTTTGTTCGAGGCTTGACTCGATCGAGCTCTTGATCGAGCTCACTGCCATGACTTCGCAAATTGGCCGTCCAACCCCTCAATGCTCAGAATGCTTGGAACCGGTCTGAAGGTGTCAAGGAGCTTCGAGTATTCCTCGGTTTCTGAGCTCACATATCCTTCTGAAGAATCCTTTGTCAAAGCAACTTGTAGGGGGTCCTCCAATGATAGCTCTTCTAAAAGCTCATCTGCCAACTGATCCATCTCCTCAACATAAAAGAGTTGACCTTCTATTGTTGGCTTCCTCATTGTATCCTTGATGTCAAACTTCATCCTTAGGTCCTTTCCCAAGTTTAGCTCAATTGTGCCTTCACAGACATCTATCATTGCTCTTGCTGTAGCTAGGAATGGCCTTCCTAGTATCAATGGATCTGTTCGTTCCTCATCCATCTCCAGCATAATGAAGTCGGTGGGGATTTCTACATTCCCTATTCTCAGAGGTAGGTCTTCAAGCATTCCAGTTGGTAACCTTATCGATCTCTCCGCCAAAACTATTGAGATTCCGCAGGCTTGGTACTTGTGGTATCCCAGTCTCTTTGCTACGGACAAAGGCATGAGGCTGACAGATGATCCTAGGTCGCAGTGGCTGTTTTTGAAAGATAGAGGTCCCAACATGCAGGGCAAAGTGAAACTCCCCGGATCTTCCTTTTTGTCGGAGATGACCTTCCCTGAATGATTGCACTGCACTCACGAGTCAACACTACCATTCCTTGTGCCTCCCTGGTTCTTTGCTGAACAGCATCCTTCAGGAATTTTTGATAAGGTGGAATGAGCATCAAGGCGTCGATGAAAGGCAACTTCAGCTCAAGTTGTCTCATTAGTTCATCAAACTTGGCCTTGTGTGCTTCCAACAGTTGTTTCTTGAACCTTCCTGGAAAGGTGATGTACTTGCATTTTACATAGTTTTAGCACATCTTTTATGCATCTTTTGCATAGTTTTAGCATCCATTTGCATCATATCTTGTTCCTTTTCTCTTCTTATGCATTCATGTTAGTTTTAGGTTGCATTTGCATACATATGCATGTTTGGTCCTTTGAAATAGGTCTTTTGGAGCATTCTGGAGCATATGGGACGTGAGGAGCATGGAGGGACTTGGCACATGGACGCAGCTCAACTGGATACGCAAAGGAAGAAGGGAGAAGCCATCTTGAAGACCAGCTCGACCGTCTACTCGACCAACCGGTCGAGTTCCTCAACTCGACCGGCCAAGCTTCAACTCGATCGAGCTGAGAAGTCAAAGTCAAACCCGAAAAATGTTGCTTCCCCCTTGACTTCCTTTGACCCTAAACCTAATCCTCTTTGTATTTAAAGGCTCTAAGCCACGAAAAAACCACCAAGCTTTAGATTACTTTTGTTTTAGTTTCTTTTAATTTATTGTCTTTTACTTTTTAGAGCTCTAATCCCATCTTTGTGTTCTTGAAGCTCTTGCTTCTTGAATCCTAGATCCTGGATAATCTCTTTGTATTTGCACTTGCTTATTTCAATAAAAGTTGTTTATTTCATCTCCTCTTTCTTATGATGTCTCTTTTATTGCATTTGCTTGTGTTTACATTCATGTGTAGTGAGTAGTTACCCATTAGGGTTTGAGATGGGATAGATTAGAGGTTTCATATGCTTAATCCTTCTAGCTTATGGTCTTAATCTAGATTCTCTCTCTTTTGGATAGATCTTAAGGCTACATGACCACTACCCCTGGCTTGTAAGTCCTTAGGCGACTCCCCACACGAAAGTGATGGCATTCGCTGGAAAAGATCCACTAAGAGCTCCAATATCTCTTGCTCTAGACAATAGAGGTCTAAGGGGTTGGATGGATTAGTTTGGGCAATGATCCTATAGCCTCCAAGGTTTGATTCTCACTGGCTAACCCCCTGTTTCTGAGATCATTCCTTGGTTGATAGCCTTCACCTTGGGAAAGGGTTGGCTAGGCATTGAGAAGCCCAATATCAAGAGAAGCCTTGATACAAGGAGTTTTAAGAGCTAGATTGATTAAGTGTAGATTCCTTTGATTGCAAAACCCTGTCTTGAACCCTAATTCTCTCTTTATCTTGTTAAAGTCGTCACCTTTAGCTTTGTTTGTCTCAACTCGTCCCTAAACTCGATCGAGCTGGTACTTTGTCTGACTCGACTCGAGTCTTGGTCGAGCTGTACTTCACTGCTTTGTTTACTTTTATTGCACTGCTTTTCATTTTTTTAGGTTGTTAGTGTTACTTCAAATCTATACTGCTTGCTTGACTTTCGGTTGTTTCATATTCTCATAGAGTGACAAGTTTCCCATTTTGGATTGATAACCCTTTGTACTACATCAACTATCATGGTTAAAGGGAATTGTTGACTGTGTTTGTGTTTGCATCTTACCACCTCATCATATACCACTGTTGCATTCCACCATCTCATTTCATATCTTTTCACATCCACACACAAATCCTATCATCAATTTGGCGCCGTTGCCGATTTGGGAATATTTTTGTTGCATTTGAGTTTCAAACACACTTGGACGATCAAGCTATACCACCCCTGTTCTATTGTACTGCTGGGTTTTTGTCTCTTTTTGCAGGTGTATGCGAACTCGATCGAGTCGGTCTAACTGAAGACTTGGTCGAGCTAGACTTACAACGGGTAGAAAGAGGGTTCAGAGGTCACAGAGGGTACAAGAGGAACCTGAGGTGCTTGTTGCTGATACAATGGATGTACCAGAGGGGAATGGAAACCCTTTGGGAATGGACTCGGTCGAGCTAGGCAAACTCGACCGATTGGTCAAGGAGATGCTCCAAACCGCCACCAACAGAGACAAGGGATTGTTCCACCACCAGTGCAGAACCACAACTTTGAGATCAAGCTGGGAATGATCAACCTTGTCCAGAACAAGATGTTCCATGGATTGCCAAGTGAAGACCCCATTGACCACCTTGATGAGTTTGATAGGCTTTGTGATTTGACAAAGATCAATGGTGTCTCTGAAGATGCCATCAAGCTGAGACTCTTTCCTATGTCTCTAGCTGACAAAGCTCACCAATGGGAGAAGAGCTTGCCCCATGGCACAATCACCACTTGGGATGAATGCAAGAAGGCCTTTCTTGCTAAGTTTTTCTCCACCGGTCGCACAGCCAAGCTTAGAGGAGAGATATCCAGCTTCATCCAGCGAAACAATGAGACATTCGCAGAGGCTTGGGAGAGGTTCAAAGGCTACACAAGTCAGTGCCCACACCATGGATTCAACAATGAATCACTACTCTCCACTCTTTATAGAGGATGCTTGCCTAGGTATAGGGAGATGCTAGACACAGCTAGCAATGGGAACTTCCTCAACCAGGATGTAGATGATGGCTGGCAACTTGTGGAGAACATGGCCATATCAACAGAATGCTATGGAGAGCATATGAAAGTACAGACTGGAGCTCGACCGCGCACTCGATCGAGCTGGACGCTCAGATGAGAAAAGACATGCTTGCACTCAACTCGAAGTTGGACAAACTGATCCTAGCCCAATTCCCTGCCAAGCATGTCAACTATGTCTCAGAACAAACCTTAGTCAAGGACCAGGAAGGGGAGGAGACAACACAAGAAGTTTGCTACATTCAAAATAGACAAGGAAGCTATAGGAATCCTCAACAAGGGCGATACAACAATTATCAAGCCCCCTGGCCGCACCTACAACAAAGTGTTCCACAAGGCTTCAACACAAGGACTACTCATACCCAACCAACTCATGATTGGGATATGAAGGAAATGCTCCAACAACTTTTACAAGGGCAAGCCAAAGGTTCTCTGGAAATGAACAACAAGCTGGTTGAGATACACTCTAAACTAGAGTCATTGACTTCAAGAGTCCAAATCATTGAGTCTTCAAGTGCATCATCCTCTTCACCACAAGAATATGCCCAAGCAGTTACACTAAGAAGTGGAAAGCAATTCCCGAGTAGAGGTAGCCCACCCCAAATCGCTGTGGACATCGATGACGAGGAAGGGGAGGATTTAGTCGACTATGCTGATAACTCGACCCGAACTCGATCGAGCTGGAACAAAACCTGAACCAGAACTCGATCGAGCTGAAGAAACTGAGACACTGCAAGACAAACCAGAGCTCGATCGAGCCCAGAAGAGAGCAGACAAAGCAAACTCCAGCCAACCAGCTAAACCTGTTGCAAGAAGAAAGACACTCCAGCAGGACCACCACCATACAAGCCCCCTCTGCCCTTTCCAGGAAGGTTCAAGAAACAACTGTTGGAAGCACACAAGGCCAAGTTTGATGAACTAATGAGACAGCTTGAGCTGAAGTTGCCCTTCATCGATGCCTTGATGCTCATTCCACCTTATCAGAAATTTCTGAAGGATGCTGTTCAGCAAAGAACCAGGGAAGCACAAGGGATGGTAGTGTTGACTCGCGAGTGCAGTGCAATCATTCAGCGGAAGGTCATCTCCGACAAAAAGGAAGATCCGGGGAGTTTCACTTTGCCCTGCATGTTGGACCCCTATCTTTCAAAAACAGTCTCTGCGATCTAGGATCATCTGTCAGCCTCATGCCTTTGTCTGTAGCGAAGAGACTGGGATATCACAAGTACCAAGCCTGCGGAATCTCACTAGTCTTGGCAGATAGATCGATAAGGTTACCAACTGGGATGCTTGAAGACCTGCCTTTGAGGATAGGGAATGTGGAGATCCCCACAGACTTCATTGTGCTTGAGATGGATGAGGAACCAACAGATCCATTGATTCTAGGAAGGCCATTCCTAGCTACAGCAAGAGCAATGATAGATGTCTGTGAAGGAACAATTGAGTTAAACTTGGGAAAGGACCTGAAGATGAAGTTTGATATCAAAAGATACAATGAGGAAACCAACTATAGAAGGTCAGCTCTTTTATGTTGAGGAAATGGATCAGTTGGCAGATGAGCTTCTAGAAGAGTTATCAACAGAGGATCCCTACAAGTTGCTTTGACCAAGGATTCTTCAGAAGGATATGTGAGCTCAGAAACTGATGAGTACAAGAAGCTCCTTGACACCTTCAGACCAGTTCCAAACATTCTGAGCATTGAGATTGGACAGGCCAGTTTGCGAAGTCATGGCAGTGAGCTCGATCAAGAACTCGATCGAGTCGAGTTTCGAACAAACGAACTCGATCGAGCTGGGGGCTGAGAGCAAGGAGCAAGCTCAAGGAGATTGGTCTGAGCTTAAGGCGCCTAAAGTCGACCTCAAACCTTTGCCTGAGGGCCTCAGGTATGCATTTCTGGGTGAAAACTCAACTTACCCTGTCATTGTGAACTCTGATTTGGAACCTGAACAGTTGAGTGCTTTGCTTGTTGAATTGAGAAAGTACAGAAAGGCAATAGGTTACACTCTAGATGATATCAAGGGGATCTCCCCTGACCTATTGATGGTGAATGTTTTGCGTGTGTGTGATATGAATGAAGTGAAGGATGATAAGATATGAGGTGGAATGCAAACAGGGGTGAATAATGATGAATGGTAATGGTGCAAACACAATCAATCAACAATTCCTCTTAACCATCATAGTCATTGAAGTATAAGAGGTTATCAATCCAAAATGGGAAATTTGTCACTCTATGAGAATATGAAACAACCAGAAAGTCAAGCAAGCAGTTATAGGTTTGAAGTAACACTAACAACCTAAGAAATGAAATGCAGTGCAATAAAAGTAAACAAAGCAGTGAAGTGTCAGCTCGACCAAGAGCTCGAGTCGAGCTAGAGCAAAGTACCAGCTCGATCGAGTTTAGGGACGAGTTGAGACAAACAAAGCTAAAGGTGACGACTTTAACAAGATAAAGAGAGAATTAGGGTTCAAGACAGGGTTTTGCAATCAAAGGAATCTACACTTAATCAATCTAGCTCTTAAAACTCCTTGTATCAAGGCTTCTCTTGATATTGGGCTTCTCAATGCCTAGCCAACCCTTTCCCAAGGTGGAGGCTATCAACCAAGGAATGATCTCAGAAACAGGGGGTTAGCCAGTGAGAATCAAACCTTGGAGGCCATAGGATCATTGCCCAAACTAATCCATCCAACCCCTTAGACCTCTATTGTCTAGAGCAAGAGATATTGGAGCTCTTAGTGGATCTTTTCCAGCGAATGCCATCACTTCCGTGTGGGGAGTCGCCTAAGGACTTACAAGCCAGGGGTAGTGGTCATGTAGCCTTAAGATCTATCCAAAAGAGAGAGAATCTAGATTAAGACCATAAGCTAGAAGGATTAAGCATATGAAACCTCTAATCTATCCCATCTCAAACCCTAATGGGTAACTACTCACTACACATGAATGTAAACACAAGCAAATGCAATAAAAGAGACATCATAAGAAAGAGGAGATGAAATTAAACAACTTTTATTGAAATAAGCAAGTGCAAATACAAAGAGATTATCCAGGATCTAAGATTCAAGAAGCAAGAGCTTCAAGAACACAAAGATGGGATTAGATCTCTAAAAAGTAAAGACAATAAAATAAAGAAAGCTAAAACAAAGATAATCTAAAGCTTGGTGGTTTTTTCGTGGCTTAGAGCCTTTAAATACAAGAGGATTAGGTTTAGGGTCAAAGGGAAGTCAAGGGGGAAGCAACATTTTTCGGGTTTGACTTTGACTCCCCAGCTCGATCGAGTTGAAGCTTGGCCGGTCGAGTTGAGGAACTCGACCGGTTGGTCGAGTGGACGGTCGAGCTGGTCTTCAAGATGGCTTCTCCCTTCTTCCTTTGCGTGTCCAGTTGAGCTGCTTCCATGCGCCAAGTCCCTCCATGCTCCTCATGTCCCATATGCTCCAGAATGCTCCAAAAGACCTATTTCAAAGGACCAAACATGCATATGTATGCAAATGCAACCTAAAACTAACATGAATGCATAAGAAGAGAAAAGGAACAAGATATGATGCAAATGGAAGCTAAAACTATGCAAAAGATGCATAAAAGATGTGCTAAAACTATGTAAAATGCAAGTACATCACCTATGCATCCATAGGATTCATCTAGAGGATGAAAGTAAGTCAAGCATTGAACCTCAGAGAAGGTTGAACCCCAATCTAAAGGAAGTAGTGAAGAAAGAGATACTCAAGTTGCTTGATGCTGGGATAATGTATCCCATCAGTGATAGCACTTGGATATCTCCAGTTCACTGTGTCCCACAGAAAGGGGGGATCACTGTCATTAAAAACGACAAAGAGGAGCTGATTCCCACTAGAACAATAGTGGGGCATCGCATGTGTATTGACTATAGGAAGCTAAATTCAGCATCTAGAAAGGATCATTTCCCTCTCCCTTTCATTGATCAGATGTTAGAAAGATTGGCAAACCACCCTTTTTATTGTTTTCTTGATGGCTACAGTGGTTTCTTCCAAATCCCGATCCACCCTAATGATCAGGAGAAGACCACTTTCACATGCCCTTATGGCACCTTTGCTTATCGAAGGATGCCATTTGGGCTGTGCAATGCTCCAGCTACTTTCCAGAGGTGCATGACCTCCATTTTTTCAGATCTGATAGAGGAGATGGTAGAAGTCTTCATGGACGATTTCTCAGTCTATGGAGCATCCTTCTCCTCATGTTTGTCTAACTTGTGCAGGGTGTTGCAGAGGTGTGAGGAGACCAATCTAGTACTCAACTGGGAGAAGTGCCACTTCATGGTTCGAGAAGGGATTGTGCTTGGACACAAGATTTCCGAGAAAGGGATCGAGCTCGATCGAGCTAAGGTGGATGTCATGTTGCAGCTCCCTGTTCCCAAGACTGTGAAGGACATAAGGAGTTTTCTGGGTCACGCAGGGTTCTACAGAAGATTCATCAAGGACTTCTCAAAGATAGCAAGACCCTTGACAAGGCTTCTATGCAAGGAGACAGATTTTGAGTTTGATGAAGAATGCCACAAGTCTTGGACCTTGCTGAAGGATGCTCTGGTATCTGCGCCAATAGTTCAAGCTCCAAACTGGGATCACCCATTTGAGATTATGTGTGATGCATCTGACTATGCAGTAGGAGCAGTGCTTGGCCAAAAGATAGACAAGAAACTCAATGTCATCTACTATGCAAGCAAGACTATGGATGATGCTCAATGCAAGTATGCAACCACAGAGAAGGAGCTCCTTGCCATAGTCTTTGCCTTTGAGAAGTTTCGAAGCTATATAGTTGGATCCAAGGTGATTGTGCACACTGACCATGCTGCCCTTAGGCACATCTTTGCTAAGAAAGATACAAAGCCAAGACTTCTCAGATGGATCCTTTTGCTTCAAGAGTTTGATAGAAGTTGTGGACAAAAAGGGAGTAGAAAATGGAGTTGCTGATCATCTCTCTAGGATGCGAGTTGAAGACATGATCCCCATCAATGATTCTATGCCTGAAGAACAGCTTATGGCAATCATGATCTTGAAGGAGAGTTTTGATGAGAAAGCAGGCTGGAAGAAGTTAAGGCTCTGCGTGATGAGAATTTGCCATGGTATGCTGATATAGTGAACTTCATGGTGTCTGGAGAAGTCCCTAGTAGTTTGATGCTTACAAGAGGAAGAAATTCTTCAAGGATGCTAGGCATACTATTGGGATGAGCCTTACTTGTACAAGAGAGGACCAGACAGCATTTACAGGAGATGCATAGCTGAAGAGGATGTACAAGGAGTTCTAGAGCATTGCCATGGGTCAGCTTATGGAGGTCACTTTGCTACATTCAAAACAGCAACTAAGGTTTTGCAATCTGGTTTATGGTGGCCTACTTGTTTAAGGATGCAGCAAGCTTACATCGCCAAGTGTGATCCATGCCAAAGGAAAGGAGGGATCACCAAGAGGGACGAGATGCCACTAAACCCAATTCTAGAAGTTGAGATCTTTGATGTATGGGGAATAGACTTCATGGGACCTTTCAAACCTCCTCAAACGGGCACAACTACATTTTGGTTGCTGTGACTATGTGTCCAAATGGATTGAAGCCATCCCCTGCCCAGCCTGTGATGCCAAGGTTGTTATCAAACTTTCAGAACCATCATCTTTCCAAGATATGGCATCCCAAGGGTTGTTATTTCGATGGAGGTCCCATTTCATCAACAAGGTGTTTGAGAAGTTGATGAGAGTTATGGAGTCAAGCACAAGGTCGCCACGCCCTTATCACCCTCAAACCAGTGGGCAAGTTGAAGTCTCCAACAGACAGATAAGGCCATATTGGAGAAGACTGTGAGCTTCACTAGGAAAGGACTGGGCAGCAAGGCTTGATGAAGCACTTTGGGCTTATAGAACAGCTTACAAAACCCCCATTGGAAGGTCTCCTTTCAATTTGCTGTATGGGAAGGACTGCCACTTACCTGTGGAGGTCGAATACAAGGCTTTATGGGCAGTAAAGATGCTGAACTTTGATATAAAGGCAGCACAAGAAAGGAGGGTAATGAACTTGTTTGAGTTGGAAGAAATAAATGAATGCCTATGAGAACTCTAGATTTACAAGATGAGAACCAAGGCAGCCCACGACAAACTGATTCGCCTTAAAGACTTCAAGGTTGGGGACAGTGTGCTCTTGTTAACTCCAAGCTAAGGTTGTTTCCTGGGAAGCTTGAGGTCAAAGTGGTCGGGACCATTCAAGATTCATGAAGTTCTACCCTATGGATCACTCACTCTGCTCAATCAAGAGGGGAAAGGAATTCACAGTAAATGGGCATAGATGCAAGCCCTACTAGGAATGACCCCCACAGAGGAGATCATCACTCCTCTTCAGAGATCCAACCCCGCCTAAAAGGTAAGGTCAAGCTATGAGACCTAAAACAAGCTCACTTGGGAGGAATTCCCATGTCTATGCTAAGTCTTAAGGAACAGGTTTTAGGAAGAGAGGCAACTCGAGGCACAACTCGATCGAGCAAAGCAAGCTCGATCGAGTGAGGAACCCAGTCGAGTGGAGCTCCTGATGGCCGTCTCCCATCTCCAGACCACGACCTTCCCCAGTTCTTTGGGGGGCACTGAGGTATCCAAACACCAACCCTTGTATATACCATTTCATATTTTCTTGCATTTGTTCTTGTTTTTCTTGGTTTTGCCCTCTTGAATCTTTCACTAAATTTTTCTCACACAAGGGACTGTGTGATTTAAGTTTGGGGGAGGGTTCAAGAGATGATTTAACCTTGTTTTCTTTGTTCTTAGTTTTTCATTTATCTTTTGCATAGAAAAACCAAAAAAATCATAAAATTTTCAAAAAATCCAAAAATATTTTCATCTTTTTGCATTCATATTTGTTAGACTTGTTTAGGATTGCATTTTTCACTTGCATTGTTGATTTGACTTTGAAAACTTGTTCATCTTTGCGATTTCTTGAGTGCCCTGTTTTTAGATTCTTTTGTGCATTAGGGTGAGATTGATTGAGCAGCAAGAACCATGTTTATCTTGATCATATCACTGCATGCACATCTCATTCAACCATTGCTGTGATTTGATGCATTTCCCTATCTATTTGAACCATAACTTGATCTTTAATTACCAATGCTTGCATTTGATTTCAACTCATGGCTACCACATACATATCTGGACATTCTTTACCTATTTTCATATCCCTTTGCTTGTCCAGATAGCTGATCTCTATCTTTGAGACAGTTACCACACCTTAAACCTAAGCCTTTTCATTTCAAACCCCATTTTATCTCTTGTGCGATTGTGAGAACCTTTCTTGGCTTTGCTTAGCATAAGGTGTTGTGTTTAAACCGGCAGGGGCAGTAGTTCTAGTTGTCTAGTTCTCTTGGGATTGTTTTCAGGCTAAGTTTGGGGGTGCCAACTCGAGCTCGATCGAGTTGGGTGTAAAAACCAGAAAAGTGGTAAAAGTTGGGAAAAACCCAAAGGAAAAGAGTTTGGTTAAGTCCAGGGAGTTGGCAGTGTTAAAAGGGTCTAGTAAAGGTTTGGGAAGTTAAAAAAAGAAAGTAAAAAGGGTTCTAAGTAGAATGAAAAGAAGGCAAAGCCTCAAGTGTCAAAAAGGAAAGAAAAGTTCCCTAAGTGTTTAGAAAATCCCAAACCGCTAGATGTTACCTCAAGAAGCCTCTCCCTAGGAAGTTCTTAAAAGAAAAGTGAGCAAAGCTCCTCAGTTTCAAAGGCGAAATGCCAAAAAGGGTAGTTAGGATTTTGTTCTAAAAAGCTCTAAGTGTTGAACTCGATCGAGTTAGGATTAGGCGGCTCGAGCTGCTGTTCTTGCATCATCTTTGGTTCTAACACTTAGCCTTCTGCCAAAGCAAAGCCACTTTCTTGAGAGATCCCTGTTACTAAACCACCATACAAAAGAGACCCTCTTTGTCTCTTAACCCATAAACCCTTGAAACCAAATGAGTTGATTGATCTTGCATGTTTTTGGTTCACTGTTTTTGCTTAATGAATGTTAAAGGGATTTGCTGATTTGAATGCATTGTTTGAGTGACTGTGAAGTGGGATTGATGTTGATAAGCATGGTTAAATCTTAATGAATATCTCTCACCTTGTTGCATTCTAGAATCTCTAAGTTGGACATTTAGCAAATCGCTTTTGAGGACATGTTTTTAAGTGTTGAATCAGCTATTTTCAAACCTCATCTCTTTCTTGTTCTATTTGTTTGCTTGAGGGCAAGCAAAGTTCAAGTTTGGGGGTGTTGATGTACTTGCATTTTACATAGTTTTAGCACATCTTTTATGCATCTTTTGCATAGTTTTAGCTTCCATTTGCATCATATCTTGTTCCTTTTCTCTTCTTATGCATTCATGTTAGTTTTAGGTTGCATTTGCATACATATGCATGTTTGGTCCTTTGAAATAGGTCTTTTGGAGCATTCTGGAGCATATGGGACAAGGAGCATGGAGGGACTTGGCACATGGAAGCAGCTCAACTGGATACGCAAAGGAAGAAGGGAGAAGCCATCTTGAAGACCAGCTCGACCGTCTACTCGACCAACCGGTCGAGTTCCTCAACTCGACCGGCCAAGCTTCAACTCGATCGAGCTGGAAGTCAAAGTCAAACCCGAAAAATGTTGCTTCCCCCTTGACTTCCCTTTGACCCTAAACCTAATCCTCTTTGTATTTAAAGGCTCTAAGCCACGAAAAAACCACCAAGCTTTAGATTACTTTTGTTTTAGTTTCTTTTAATTTATTGTCTTTACTTTTTAGAATCTAATCCATCTTTGTGTTCTTGAAGCTCTTGCTTCTTGAATCTTAGATCCTGGATTAATCTCTCTTTGTATTTGCACTTGCTTATTTCAATAAAAGTTGTTTAATTTCATCTCCTCTTTCTTATGATGTCTCTTTTATTGCATTTGCTTGTGTTTACATTCATGTGTAGTGAGTAGTTACCCATTGGGTTTGAGATGGGATAGATTAGAGGTTTCATATGCTTAATCCTTCTAGCTTATGGTCTTAATCTAGATTCTCTCTCTTTTGGATAGATCTTAAGGCTACATGACCACTACCCCTGGCTTGTAAGTCCTTAGGCGACTCCCCACACGAAAGTGATGGCATTCGCTGGAAAAGATCCACTAAGAGCTCCAATATCTCTTGCTCTAGACAATAGAGGTCTAAGGGGTTGGATGGATTAGTTTGGGCAATGATCCTATAGCCTCCAAGGTTTGATTCTCACTGGCTAACCCCCTGTTTCTGAGATCATTCCTTGGTTGATAGCCTCCACCTTGGGAAAGGGTTGGCTAGGCATTGAGAAGCCCAATATCAAGAGAAGCCTTGATACAAGGAGTTTTAAGAGCTAGATTGATTAAGTGTAGATTCCTTTGATTGCAAAACCCTGTCTTGAACCCTAATTCTCTCTTTATCTTGTTAAAGTCGTCACCTTTAGCTTTGTTTGTCTCAACTCGTCCCTAAACTCGATCGAGCTGGTACTTTGTCTACTCGACTCGAGCTCTTGGTCGAGCTGAACTTCACTGCTTTGTTTACTTTTATTGCACTGCTTTTCATTTTTTTAGGTTGTTAGTGTTACTTCAAATCTATAACTGCTTGCTTGACTTTGGTTGTTTCATATTCTCAAAGAGTGACAAGTTTCCCATTTTGGATTGATAACCCTTTGTACTACATCAACTATCATGGTTAAAGGGAATTGTTGACTGTGTTTGTGTTTGCATCTTACCACCTCATCATATACCACTGATTGCATTCCACCATCTCATTTCATATCTTTTCACATCCACACACAAATCCTATCATCAAGCATAAAGATCCCCTAATCTATCCCATCTCAAACCCTAATGGGTAACTACTCACTACACATGAATGTAAACACAAGCAAATGCAATAAAAGAGACATCATAAGAAAGAGGAGATGAAATAAACAACTTTTATTGAAATAAGCAAGTGCAAATACAAAGAGATTATCCAGGATCTAAGATTCAAGAAGCAAGAGCTTCAAGAACACAAAGATGGGATTAGATCTCTAAAAAGTAAAAGACAATAAATTAAAAGAAGCTAAAACAAAATAATCTAAAGCTTGGTGGTTTTTTCGTGGCTTAGAGCCTTTAAATACAAGAGGATTAGGTTTAGGGTCAAAGGAAAGTCAAGGGGGAAGCAACATTTTTCGGGTTTGACTTTGACTTCCAGCTCGATCGAGTTGAAGCTTGGCCGGTCGAGTTGAGGAACTCGACCGGTTGGTCGAGTAGGGTGGTCGAGCTGGTCTTCAAGATGGCTTCTCCCTTCTTCCTTTGCGTGTCCAGTTGAGCTGCGTCCATGCCTCCCTCCATGCTCCTCATGTCCCATATGCTCCAGAATGCTCCAAAAGACCTATTTCAAAGGACCAAACATGCATATGTATGCAAATGCAACCTAAAACTAACATGAATGCATAAGAAGAGAAAAGGAACAAGATATGATGCAAATGGATGCTAAAACTATGCAAAAGATGCATAAAAGATGTGCTAAAACTATGTAAAATGCAAGTACATCAACACCCCCAAACTTGAACTTTGCTTGCCCTCAAGCAAACAAATAGAACAAGAAAGAGATGAGGTTTGAAAACAAGTTGATTCAACACTTAAAAACATGTCCTCAAAAGCGATTTGCTAAATGTCCAACTTAGAGATTCTAGAATGCAACAAGGTGAGAGATATTCATTAAGATTTAACCATGCTTATCAACATCAATCCCACTTCACAGTCACTCAAACAATGCATTCAAATCAGCAAATCCCTTTAACATTCATTAAGCAAAAACAGTGAACCAAAAACATGCAAGATCAATCAACTCATTTGGTTTCAAGGGTTTATGGGTTAAGAGACAAAGAGGGTCTCTTTTGTATGGTGGTTTAGTAACAGGGATCTCTCAAGAAAGTGGCTTTGCTTTGGCAGAAGGCTAAGTGTTAGAACCAAAGATGATGCAAGAACAGCAGCTCGAGCCGCCTAATCCTAACTCGATCGAGTTCAACACTTAGAGCTTTTTAGAACAAAATCCTAACTACCCTTTTTGGCATTTCGCCTTTGAAACTGAGGAGCTTTGCTCACTTTTCTTTTAAGAACTTCCTAGGGAGAGGCTTCTTGAGGTAACATCTAGCGGTTTGGGATTTTCTAAACACTTAGGGAACTTTTCTTTCCTTTTTGACACTTGAGGCTTTGCCTTCTTTTCATTCTACTTAGAACCCTTTTTACTTCCTTTTTTAACTTCCCAAACCTTTACTAGACCCTTTTTAACACTGCCAACTCCCTGGACTTAACTAAACTCTTTTTCCTTTGGATTTTCCCAACTTTTTACCACTTTTCTGGTTTTTACACCCAACTCGATCGAGCTCGAGTTGGCACCCCCAAACTTAGCCTGAAAACAATCCCAAGAGAACTAGACAACTAGAACTACTGCCCCTGCCGGTTTAAACACAACACCTTATGCTAAGCAAAGCCAAGAAAGGTTCTCACATTCGCACAAGAGATAATATGGGGTTTGAAATGAAAAGGCTTAGGTTTAAGGTGTGGTAACTGTCTCAAAGATGAGATCAGCTATCTGGACAAGCAAGAGGGATATGAAAATAGGTAAAGAATGTCCAGATATGTATGTGGTAGCCATGAGTTGAAATCAAATGCAAGCATTGGTAATTAAAGATCAAGTTATGGTTCAAATAGATAGGGAAATGCATCAAATCACAGCAATGGTTGAATGAGATGTGCATGCAGTGATATGATCAAGATAAACATGGTTCTTGCTGCTCAATCAATCTCACCCTAATGCACAAAAGAATCTAAAAACAGGGCACTCAAGAAATCGCAAAAGATGGACAAGTTTTCAAAGTCAAATCAACAATGCAAGTGAAAAATGCAATCCTAAACAAGTCTAAGAAATATGAATGCAAAAAGATGAAAATATTTTTGGATTTTTTGAAAATTTTATGATTTTTTTGGTTTTTCTATGCAAAAGATAAATGAAAAACTAAGAACAAAGAAAACAAGGTTAAATCATCTCTTGAACCCTCCCCCAAACTTAAATCACACAGTCCCTTGTGTGAGAGAAATTTAGTGAAAGATTCAAGAGGGCAAAACCAAGAAAAAAAACAAATGCAAGAAAATATGAAATGGTATGTACAAGGGTTGGTGTTTGGATACCTCAGTGCCCCCCAAAGAACTGGGAGGCAGGTCGTGGTCTGGAGATGGGAGACGGCCATCAGGGACGCTCCACTCGCCGGGTTCACGTCGCTCGATCGAGCTTGCTCTTGGCTCGATCGAGTTGTGCCTCGAGTTGGTTGCCTCTTCCTTCCTAAAACCTGTTCCTGCAAGACTTAGCTGAGAAAAACGCAGAGATAAAAGATAAAGATAATATGTACAAGATAGACATGGGAATTCCTCCCAAGTGAGCTTGTTTTAGGTCTCATAGCTTGACCTTACCCCTTTTAGGCCGGGGTTGGATCTTGAAGAGGAGTGATGATCTCCTCTGTGGGGGTCATTCCTAGGTAGGGCTTGCATCTATGCCCATTTACTGTGAATTCTTTCCCCTCTTGATTGAGCAGAGTGAGTGACCCGTAGGGTAGAACCTCATGTATCTTAAACGGCCCTGACCACTTTGACCTCAATTCCCGGGAAACAACCGCAATTTGGAGTTAAACAAGAGCACACTGTCCCCAACCTTGAAGTCTTTTAGGCGAATCAGTTTGTCGTGGGCTGCCTTGGTTCTCATCTTGTAGATCATGGAGTTCTCATAGGCATTCATTCTGATTTCCTCCAACTCAAACAAGTTCATTACCCTCCTTTCTTGTGCTGCCTTTATGTCAAAGTTCAGCATCTTTACTGCCCATAAAGCCTTGTATTCGACCTCCACAGGCAAGTGGCAATCCTTCCCATATAGCAAATTGAAAGGAGACCTTCCAATGGGGGTTTTGTAAGCTGTTCTATAAGCCCAAAGTGCTTCATCAAGCCTTGTTGACCAATCCTTTCCTAGTGAAGCTCACAGTCTTCTCCAATATAGCCTTTAATCTGTCTGTTGGAGACCTCAACTTGCCCACTGGTTTGAGGGTGATAGGGCGTAGCGACCTTGTGCTTGACTCCATAACTCTTCATCAACTTCTCAAACACCTTGTTGATGAAGTGGGAACCTCCATCCGAAATAACAACCCTTGGGATGCCATATCTTGA